TAGCTCTGCTCCTTTATAATTTGCTCCGGAAGAGGAAGTGAAATTATCTGAACAATGTTTGCAAACATCCTGTGGGAGAGGCTGAAAAATCTCTGGCTAAGGGACACAGTCCGTGGGCCAAAAGAGATGCCATTTCAGGAGCTTTTGACCAGAGTGTTGTTGTTTTTTAAGACAGCAGGCACCTGCTCCCGCCACACCCTCCCATTCAGATTGGGTGGGGGTTAATCATTCCTTCTCCACAGTTTTTCCAACCTGAAACAGCCCTGCAGGCAGACAGCAGCTCCAGGGGTCTACTTCAGGTCTGGGAAATGGTGCAGAAGGAAAGGGTTATCCCCCTCCCCCTGTCTCAGTCTGATCCAGGTCTCTGCACACCTGCAATTCACCAAGAAAACTGCTCTGATCTTGGAACTCCTAGCACCCTATATGATCTGGGCCTAAAAGATGCAGTATTTTCTACTGCAGGTGGGAGACGTCTCTCTTGCTGCAGTGTCTAGAGCAAAGCACCAGACAGCATGTACACCTGGGAAGACAGGATCTCTAGATATGATTTCCTGGATCCAGAACTGCAAGTTATAATGGGAGTGATCTCAGACATTTTCCCACTGAAAGGATTCGTGGCAATAGCAATATCCTTTCCCATAAATGTCAGAGGTCCTGTACCTCTGAACTAGTAGTGTCCAGCAGATGGACAACAGAGTGCAATGGGACAAAGGAAAGCCCCTTCATTGCCTGCACTTTGCAGAATGTATGAAACAGTCCTATTTCAAGGGGCACTGGGTAGGTTTTACCCCCCTTGGGCTTCTGAGTTCTGCAGTGAGAATTTATCCCTGTGCAAGTTTAGGAGTTTTTACCAGATTTTGTTTTAGTTTTACCCCCCTTGGTGGGGTATTGAATTGGGCTTCTGAGTTCTGCAGTGAGAATGTATCCCTGTGCAAACTTAGGAGTTTTTTTGTTTTGTAAACTGCCTTGAGATTTTGGAAGGAGGGTGGGATAAAGACACACTAGTTAGTTAGACAGATATTTATACAGTTAACTTTTGAACTGACACCTGTAGCTGTGTTTTTAGCAGAGATCTGTTCCCAAGCTATTTGCTGGAGATAAAAGCCCTGTACACACAACAGACCTGTAAACAGGGCCAAGACACATACAGAGAGAGGGAAAGGAATGAGTGTGCCAGATCTGCCTCTTTCCAAGCACATTTGCCAAAATGCGGACATGGCATTCCCAGTCACACAGATGGAATCAATATGCGTATATGCCTATGTAGGAATGTGTTTACATTTGGGCAAGGAATGCTCATTTCTGTTCTCTGACAATATGTTCTACACAGATTAGACATGTGCAAAAGCTACTGTTCAGCTCCATACCACGAACAGCACTATCTGCTGTTCATTTCTTCATATCAAAGTCTGTTTAAAGAGACAGGATTAGTCCAGGCCAGGGCTTTATTTTGTTTTTCCTGATTAATTGGCAAACCTTATTCCTATCACATTTTCATTATGCCTCTATCTTATACTCAGTATCATCCAATTTACATGTAACAAACACTAGCTTTATCCTGTAATTCATGAACATATGTCCATAACCATATGGCCATGCAGCCCGGATTTGGAAGAAGAATATTTTATTTTAATCAGTTGACAGGGATCAGAGTAACCAGGCACTGTGGCAAGATCAGTAACCTTCATGTTGCTAATGATGAATGGAAAGCTAACGTTTGCAACAGAGGATGAGACCACAGTGCTAGCTGCTTATCTTTACTTTCCTAACCACGCCTTTACTTTTGCTCAGCACATGTTGAACCATCTTCTCTTTGGCTGCAGAGAATTTCAGAATGCTGATCATTTGTGTGGAAAGCAGACAGAAGGCTATCACCTGTACAATAACAATGCTGTGTTCAGATGTCAAAATAAACCATGGTTTAAACAGTTGATGGTGTGCACTACTAATTCTGGTTTGTCTACTTGACGTAAGTAACAAACCCGAGTTTCCTGCCTCTCTTTTATGTTCCCCCCAAATGGAGGAGACCTTCCTGCCTTCACTGCCATGTCTGTGACGAGGCAGCCACAAGGGATGGTCAAGATGGGGCCATGACAGAGCATCTGCTCTGCATGCAGAAGGCCCCCGGTTCAATCACTGGCACTTCCAGCTAAAAAGATCGGGTAGTAGACGACGTGAAAGACCTCAGCCTGAGACCCTAAAAAGCAGCTGCCAATCAGAGTAGACAATGCTGATCTTGATAGACAAGTGGTCTGACACAACATAAGGCGGCTTTGTGTGTGCCTGCTACTCACGGAACGGCAGTTCATGAATTCATACGTCATAACAAGCCATGAGTAGTACACACTGAAGTAACAAAGCAGTCTCAGTTTGGTGCCAACCAATAAGCCACAATTAGTTAGACCATCTGCATTCAGATGTTGCAATTAACTGGGGTAGGACAAACCTATAAAGGGTGGTCTGTTGTGATTGTTTCACAAGGGGAGTCACTGGAACTCCTCAATTCTTCCTTTGATGGGCCTGTTAAGAAGCACAGGTGCTTTGGGCCCTCTTGAATTTGACAGGCCGACTGAAAACAACCCACTGTGATTTAGAGTCAGTTGCCTAGGCAGGTGATCCTCTTCCCTATACTTAACAGACACACTGTTGGAGTTTTCTTAACACATGAGCTATACAATTCTTTACTAACTATCAATAACAGTATGAGGCTGATCCTGAGAGAGGCTGGTATCTGTTTTCATTAAATACCAGGAGAGAGTTTTGCATCAATTATATCTCCAAAGTTAATCTTTCAAGCAAAAAAGAAGAAGAGATTAGATTTATACCCCGCCCTTCACTACCCAAAGGTGTCTCAGAGCGCCTTACAAACTCCTTTCCCTTCCCCTACAACAGACACCCTGTGAGGTAGGTGGGGTTGAGAGAGCTCTTGACAGAAACTGCTCTTTTTCAAGAACAGCTCTTATCAGAACTACGGCTTGCCCAAGGTCATCCAGCCAGGTGCAAGTGGAGGAGTGGGGAATCAAACCTGGCTCTCCCAGATTAGAGTCCACGCACTTAACCACTACACCAAACTGGCTCTCTAAAGACCGCTGTGGATATGAATACTAGGTTTTACACAGCTTTCATTTCCCTCTACATGGCTCTAAAATTGGTTTTTAAGCCTACTCTGGAAAAAAACAGTGTTTGTTTTTTTGAAAAATATCAAGCTTTATCTGATCCTGTCAGCTGGGATTATTCAAGTCATCTGTAAGCAAGGCAAAAAGTAAACATGATACCGTTAATGTAGGATGTTCTGTTTGTCGTAAAAAGGCTTCTCTCTGTTTAACACTGAAAATATTAGTGGAACTGGTACATGTAACATAACATTTGGTAGGACCCAAAAATGTCACTAGTTAGAACAGAAGTCTCTGTCATGGGATTTGGCCTAGAAACTGCAAACTTATCCTTCCAAATAAATTGGTGATGTCTGGCTATCCCATTCCATCCACATACTCTTGAGTTGCAGTGAGAAAAGTGGACTATAAAATAAATAAATAATCATATGACGTCCCCTTATATTGAGTCAGAGTATTGGTCCACCGAACCCACTGCCGTTTACTCTCATTGGCTGAAATTTCCTAAGGAAGGGAAGGATCTTGCCGTGGAGACTTTAGCTCTTCTGTTTCTATTGCACCGCTGCTAGAATGCCACCAGGATTTTTAGAAGATTTTGTGCTGTGCTGCTTTTAGAAGTGTCAGATTTTAAACTGAAGTTGTTTTAATGGCTGTCTCTTTTATCCTGCAGTTGATGCTGCTTTGATAGGACTTACTGTGGTTTACGTTTCACAGCTATTTCTAATGCCATGAGTCAACATGTAGATATTTATAGAGAGGTGGGATACAAATGTTTTAAATAAACAAACACTGTGTGCACAAGGTATTTGCATGCAGCGTTGGCATGCCAGCTATCAGTGACTCAGGTGGAGGTGCTGTGGGTGTGATAAGAAGAGCAGCTGTGAAGGGTCAGACCAATGGTCCATCCAGTCCAACATCCTCTTTCACATAGTGGCCAGCTAGATGCCTCTTAGGGGCTTACAAGCAGGGCACAGTGGCAAAAGCTTTCCCCTGCTGTTGACCGCCAGCTCTGATATTCAGAAGGTTAATGGGCAGAGGGACTGGGACTCAGGGGAAGAGCATTTCATCTGCACGCAGGAAGTACCAGGTTCAATCCCAGGCATCTCCAGTTTTTTAAAAAAAGCATCAGGAAGCAGGTGATGTGAACGAACTCTGCCTGAGACCTTGAAGGAGCTCTGCCCGTCTGAGTAGACAATACTGGTCCAATTCAGTATAAGGCAGCTTCACAAATTCATGTGAATGTGGAGGTTCCATTTAGTCACTATGGTTAATAGTCACTGATGTGTCATGAATCTTTCTAACACCTTTTTAAAACACATGCGCATATCTCAAGATACATAGTAACAACCTGTTAAATTAGGTGATAGAGAGAAGGATTAATGTCTGTGTTAAGCGAGTCTTGAAGGGAATCATGACCTTTGTAAACATTACCATACTCTTATCGCCATCATCTCTAACTAGCTTTGGGGGCTGGGATCTGAGGCATGCCCATAATAAGCTGGTTTATCTTCCCACATGGGAACAGCAAGGACCTAGTTGAGATGTCTACTCTGGCCTGCTGGGATTTTGAGCCCTGCTTCCTTAAGGAGGCAAACGTCTGCATTCTTGTTGTCACTGGTTTCTGGAAAACCAAAAGACTGAAATGATAAAGTGCCAATTGCTTTAAAGTGGCTGTCCCATGACACCACCATTTTGAGCACCAGCAAGTGCTTTCCTCACAGGCTTGTCTCATTTACACTTGCCCTTATACAATGCAGCAACCATATTTCAAGGCAGTGCTGATTTCATTTTGGCTGTCTAATAGGTGCACAGTTTGAAGTGATCAGCTGTAACACATTTGGGCTCCTGATTTCCTACAAACTTGATTTAATTTAAACGTTTACAAACCTTTCCTGTCAGCTCCGCAAAGTCCTCTCCCCCTATTATCTGTGTATCTTGCAAAGACTGGTCATTCTGGAAAACAAAAGTATATAATGCTTTAGTTGTACGTCCAGTGTGGGGAAGAAAAAAAAACATGCCAGAAATTTTTCTTCTGGATTTCTCATTCTGGTTTGACAACTTATACTTATGAATACTTATGAAAAAGTATTACACTCTGTTTTAATTCAACCAGTTTTTCTGCAGGTGAAAATGAAAGGAAGTGTCCCTTTTGACCACCAGAAAAGGCTGTCCTGAGGACCGTGGGAGCTGCAGTTAACAAAAGCCACATGGGATGAGGGCTGTAGTAAGGAAGAGGATTGGTCAAGTGATCTTAGTAGTTTTTATTTCCATGAGACTTACTGAACATCATAATGGGATTCTTTCAAAACAGTTTTCCCTTTCCAGTGGACTGACTCCCACAGAAGTGCAGATAGGACTGTTAAATTCCATATATTTGGATGGGAGAATTATGGGTGGTAATTCCCTCCCCCTTAAATCAATGCAATCTATACTTTGCAATGAATTCCTAAACTGAGTTACACCTTTCTAAGTACACTGACTTCAGTATTTAGTGAGGTAAAAAGGTAAAGGTTCCCTTGCTCGAAAGCCAGTCGAATCCGACTCTAGGGTTGCAGTGCTCATCTCCGTTTCAAAGCCGAAGAGCCAGCACTGCCCGAAGACGTTTCTGTGGGGAAAAAAAAAAAAAACCATGCCAGAAATTTTTTCTTGTGGATTTCTCATTCCGGTTTGACAACTCAACTGCCAATCAACTCTTCTTATGAAAAAGTATTAAACTCTGTTTTAATCCAACCAGTTTTTCTGCGGGTGGAAATCAAAGGAAGTGTCCCTTTTGACCACCAGAAAAGGCTGTCCTGAGGACCGTGGGAGCTGCAGTTAACAAAAGCCACATGGGATGAGGGCTGTAGTAAGGAAGAGGATTGGTCAAGTGATCTTAGTAGTTTTTATTTCCATGAGACTTACTGAACATCATAATGGGATTCTTTCAAAACAGTTTTCCCTCTCTAGTGGACTGACTTCCATAGAAGTGCAGATAGGACTGTTAAATTCCATATATTTGGATGGGAGAATTATGGGTGGTAATTCCCTCCCCCTTAAATCAATGGAATCTATACACTTTGCAATGAATTCCTAAACTAATCTTTGGATAATTTTAGTTAGTTGGCTCCGCCCCAAGTGTAGTTAGGTAATTTTTAATCTCTGGGCTCAGCCTGGGTTTTATGTGACTGTGACTATGTACCTTGTCATATGTTATGTTAATTTTATGTACCTATTTTACCCCCCTTTTGCATTTTCTTTGGTCAAGACTTTGGTCATATGGACCTGTAATAAACTGAACCGAACTCCTAAACTGAGTTACACCTTTCTAAGTACACTGACTTCAGTATTTAGTAAGGTAAAAAGGTAAAGGTTCCCTTACTTGAAAGCCAGTCGAATCCGACTCTAGGGTTGCGGTGCTCATCTCCGTTTCAAAGCCAAAGAGCCAGCGCTGCCCGAAGACATTTTCGTGGTCATGTGGCCGGCATGACTAAACACCAATGGCGCATGGAACGCTGTTACCTTCCCACCGAAGTGGTACCTATTTATCTACTTGCAATTTCTTGCTTTCGAATTGCTAGGTTGGCAGGAGTTGGAACTAGAGACAGGAGCTCACTCCGTCACGTGGCAACCCGGGTCTCCAACTGCTGAACTACAGCCCTTCCACAGCCTGCAGTTCAGCGTCTTAACCACTTGAGCCACCACAGCTCAATACAGTGCAGTATTTAGTACTGCACTGTAATTTAGGGTGGATCGTGCCTATGCTTCTATGCTACAAACTATATACTTTATGGCAAGCTTGTAGGTTAAAAAAAAAGCAAACAAGGCATGTTATTCCAATTTACACTTCCTTTAATTGGGTTATATATTGCTTAATTATTATATACATAATAATTTATTATATAATAATAAGTACTGTGAAGTCGCAACTGACTTCTGGCAACCCTTCATGAGGTTTCCAAGGCAAAGAAATGAGCAGAAATGATGTGTCATTGCTTTGATCTGCATAGCAACCCTGGCCTTCTTTGGAGGCCTCCCATCCAAATACCAGCCACAGCCAACCCTGTTTAGCTTCCAAGATCTGAAAAAGGCTAATCTGGGCTATTCAGGCCTTCAGAGAGCCATTTAAAGCTGATCCACTGTAAAGGTCCTATAAGATGGTCAAAATCTGAGACAATTTAGTGCCTCTATCACGGGGGTCCCCAACCTTTTTGAGCCTGCAGTCACCTTTGGAATTATGACACTGGATGGTGAGCACAATCCCAAAACGGCTGCCACAAATAGGCAAAGCCAGCTACAACATCTCAGAAAGTGAGGTCATGCATAACTCTAATAATAACTCTTCAACAGTTTAGGCAGAAGTTCCGTTTAACAGGATGCCTTTTAAAATGAACATATTCTTGCATACACACAGCTTAGCTTCAGTCATACAGTGAAGACTGTGGCAGTAAACACTGCCCAAGCAACGTTTTTAAAAATCTGCACAGCCAATCAGATCTCCAATGGCCAATCAGAAGCCCTGCTGAGCAAAATCCCCACCTGGCCCCACCCTCTTTCTAAAAACAGTTGGCAGGCAAGACGTCATGGCACTCTGTTCTATTATGTCATTTTGCATGGTGAAGGCCTTTGTGAGGAAGCTGCCCTGCTGCTTCTGGTCAGTCTCACTCTGGCAGATCAGCTGCTCGGTTTAACAGCTGATGGGAGGGGAGTGAAACCGACCAGAAGGGGCAGGGTGGCTCTGGAAGGGAAGGCCCCTAAGTGACCTGCCCCCCACCTGCCCTCCCAGACCAAAATTTTTCTGGCTATAGAGCTGGATGCCAAAGATGGTACCCTATACCACTAGTTTTAACACCTCCCACCCCCAAGGAATATTTTCACATCTGTTTGTGTGCCAAGGCATCCTGATGAATTAGTCAAATTGCAAGATCCCTGCATATTATAGAGGCAAATTCTGGGGCGGCATTTGTGTGCAGGGCCGTTGGGTATATCCTAGAATGCGCACAGTGCTTTCCTTTGGCTGTGCAGTGCAGGAAATGATAAGTAATCACACACAAACTGTCCATTTTTACTGGTTTTCCATTGAGGAAAACCTTCTAAGAAACCCTGGAGTTTGAAAAGCAATGCCCCACGTGGACCGTTTGGCCAACATATCAAGGCGATTCTACGCAAGTGAAACAATTATTTTTTTAAAAAGTAATTGCATTAATTGGTTTATACTTTTGCATGTTTTGTCATTTAGTGTTGCCTTCCCTGAGCCTTTGACATAAAATGGAACATGAGAGGGGAAATTTAACTGAATGGGGGGATTTGGGAGAGACCCGGGTTCAAATCCAGCCCAGGCACCATACTATGACATCTGCAGAGTGAACTTGGAGCAATCATTTTCTCTCAGTCCTGTTGTAAGAAAAACTTGAGAGGAAGGAACTCATTACAGGAAGGGCAGTATAAAAAGGAGAGAGCTAAATTGATAGAAAATTCCCTTGGTCCCCAAAAGAAGGTATATGTGAGTTTCTGCTATTTTTGTAAAGTGGGGGAATATATATGAGATTTTTGCTTGATAACACTGCAAATGCACAAACTACTTTGTAGACAGGAGTCTTCCAACCTCTAGGGATAAACAGGAAAAAAGCAATAGGGGAAATATGCAAAAGATCTTTGTTTACAGTTTTATAATAAATGGTAAAATCTCTTTCAATTACTTTGAAGTACTTTCCCATTGCATTTTTGCACTCTTGGCTGCAGTGGCAAGTCCGGTGCTGGCAAATAATTTAAAAAGTGAATCCAAGAGTCTTTCAAAGCACCGGATTAGACAGGCCAGTCAGAAAAAGTGAGGCTTGTATAGCTGTGGAGTGGCTGCTACTGGGGAAACTGCTATGCAATTTCCCGTCTCCATATTTGTAATTGCTGCCAAGGCAGAAGAACATTTCCTTGCAATGTCACAAGCAGATGTACAAATGAAAAAAAAAATCCACCTCCACATATGGCATTAATACCCTCCATCTAAAGCCACATGTTTAATCAAACATTGCGACAATCATCACATCTCAAGCCTTGCTGACTTTTTAAACCTCTTAGCTATCAACATCCATTTCCTTTTCTCTGAATATCTTTAAAGTTCAGCAAAACATGAATGGAATTGTACTCTGTCATGCCTACATGCCAAGCTGGGATACATAACTTTTCCAAATGGCGTTATCTGAAAAGTTCATTCAAAGGCTTTCCCCAAGCATAGAGAGGAGGCTGAAGAAGCAGACGCTCTCATTGATCTGCTCCCTCAGTTCATCTCCCTTATAAATAAAAGCCAAATGGTGGTGGCACTTCTTTAGAACATTCCACACACTCCAAAATCAGTTCGCTCTCTGATCTGTCATTCAGAGGGTCTCCTTATCCACTGGCTGCTTTGCCTGAGTCTTGCCTCCAACATTCTAAGCATTTTCGTGTTCCTCAACGGGCCTTTTTTCTAGCCTCGATATGTTGCTGTTACTCATCATGTGTTGTTTACTGTCTTCTGGACAACCTTTCAAGGCATTTTAATGGGACTGATCCGATAATTGTCATGACTTTCCATTACAAATTGAAGAAACTGCGGTCAGGAACATATCTTAAGTTCACTCTGAAAACTGCAGAGAATAAGCTGGAAACTAATAATGGCAGAGCTACAAAAAAGAAGAACTTAGACTATACCACCCCAGGAAAGGAGAAGGGGTGGGTGGAAAGAGATCAAAGGTCTTGATTTAATTTGCTTACATATTGTGGTTGAATTTCAGAGCTGGATTTTTGTACAAGCAAGGTAAGCTACCGCTTAAGGCAAGATTCTTCAACTCTGTTAAACCTGTTAGGAGCTTTGGAATTTTGAAAGCAGGTAGCAAACACCACCACAAAATGGCTGCCATGGAAGCTGCAGCCAATCAGAAAATGACAGGAACTGACCATACAAAGGTGATTCTTCCTTGCCCTTCTAAAGCACTTCCTGCTCC